GGCTCTTAGTGTATCTTCATTTTTCCCCCTTAGTCAAGAGCTACTCAGAGAGATCTACCACCCACATACCCTGTTTAAATAACCAGTGTCTTTACTCAACCTTCCTGAGGAGACAGAAAACACTGTAATACACCCAGGAAGATTCTGCAGGGCATCCGTTTTGCAGAAGAGATGAAAAACTCAATCCCTGAGAAAATACTTTAATATCATTCAGTAAATGAGACTTTTCTCACAGACTATCAAAAGTATTGTATTCTACTATATTGATTGACTTTCTGCAGAGATTAATTTGTGTGTGTGTGTGTGTGTGTGTATCATCAAAGAACAATACACACATGACTGTGTGTATCAGTACCATGTGGATGTTCTGAGTCATATTTATATCTACGATCGGTAGTGGCATTTCATCAAGGACATAAAAAGGCAATGCTATTCATCCTAGGTTTTATGAGTATAAGGGTCTGGAAAATTGCAAGCAGTGCCTATGCCTAGGGGAGCCCCTGGGGCTCAGAAAAGTTGTCTGTGGGGCAGGGCAGGGGGCTGTGATGTTTCCCAGACTTCCGGCTCTTGATAAAAACGACAAATCTGAGTTTGTAGGGAAAGATATCATGGAGTATACTTTTAGACTGTAATCCCAGAACTTGTGAGGCTGATCGAGGAGGACTCTGACTTCAAGGCAGTCTGAGTGATATAGGGAGACCCTGTCTGTGTTTTCCTTGTGTGAGTATTGACTTAAATTTGGAATATGTATGTATGTAGGTATCTAGGAGGTGATATGATCGTAGCTCAGAATTTTATTTTGAAACCATCACCAAATATAGATGTTTCTCATAAGAGGCCTGACTGTCACAAACCCATCACAAGTGGAAATACTGTATCCTAAAATGCATTTAATATACCTAGCCTAGGGAAAGTTATATTTTAGTAACTGTACATTGCAGGGTGCGGGCTGTTTCACCTGGTGATCTCCTTCTGCCTAGGAGATGAGGATGTCTGCCATGGTTCAACATGGCAACAAAGTATTACACGGCATAGTACTAGCTCAGGAAAAGACCAACATGCAAAATTTCAACTGAATCCTTACTGCTTTTTGTACCACTGCATAATTGGAAAATTGTAAGTAGAATGATCTTTAAGTTGAGGACCATCTGTAGTGATATCTGGGGCTCTGGGCGTGGATGAGAGCACCCAAAGATAAAGAGCATATAAAATGAGAAAATAAGAGGGTTGGAGATAGAATGCTTGGAAACACCATAATTTAAGGGGCTGGCAGAAAAAGAGAAGCCAGCCAAGAAATGGAACAGGACAGAAAGATATCACGTAAGCCCAGAGGGGGATGGGAAGTACAGCCTGTACATGAAATAGCACATTTGAAAAATTACTAGTTGGAAGCACATACAAATATTGGTAGATCTTTTCTGATAATTAAAATCTTAGGTTTCCTTCCCCTCGTGTGTGTGTGTGTGTGTGTGTGTGTGTGTGTGTGTGTGTGTGTGTGTACCTACATGCACATGGTGGGGCCTGGATTCCATGTTCTTGCTCACATTAAGAAAACTCTAACAGGTGAGCTATATCTTCAACCTTGTTTCTTTGAATCAAGGTCCTCCCTTGGCAAGCCTGGGAGGCTTGCCAAGAACTTAGCCTTCCTCAGCCTCACAGGTGCTGGGATCAAGGCTGTGTGCTACCATGTTCAGCAATGCTATTTTCTTTCAGTTACTCTATGTTTTCTGACTTCCATATAATGATAATCAGTTACATTTGTATTAAAATATTATTAAAGGGGTCTGGAGTCATGGCTCAACAGTTAAGAAGGCTCACCACTCCTGCAGAGGGACAAGGTTCAGTTTCTGGCCCCCAAATGCAGACCCACAACCATCAATTTTCCAGTTACAGGAGATCTGATGTCCTCTTTTGACTTCTGTGGGCTCCAGGCGCACACACAATGCACATACATATCTACACCTAGGCAAGACACTCATACATGTAAAATAAAATCTTTTAAAATGTTATTGACATATAAGATGTTCCAAGAAAGTCTAGATTATTCTGTAAGCACTTAGAGGAAGAAGCAAGGAATTGTGAATTCAAACATATTTGAACATGTATGTGCAGGACACCAAGCTAATAATAAACAAGGAATTTGAGAAATACTCTGTTGTTCTACATAAAAAGGAAGCCAGCTGGCTTAGCAAGGGAGGGATGTAGGTCTTTAGGGTGCACTGGTGGCACATAAGGTTAGATGGCAGTCTGCCACCACATTAAAATGACTTTATGTGTCTTATAACGAACTTGGCTCTGTTCTGGAAGCTCCAGATGGGTTTCTGAGGGGCAGAGAGAGGACCAGAATTGGGCATTAAGTGAGATAAGTTTCTGCTTAACTTTGATAACAATGTGTCTACTGTGTAGAGGAACCCAAGGAAGGGGACTGGGAGGGTTGCTGAGAACCACAATGATTGAAGGCTGTGCCTCATCCAGAGACACTGGGGCATTGCATTTGCATGTATAGGGCATGATTGACTGTGACTGGATGCACACTGATACAACCGATTGTATGGATGTTGTGGGAAGGAAGGTATTAAGAACAACTGCAAAAACCAAAACAGTCCAAGCAAACATTTTGCTGCTTATCTAACCATACAGGACATAATACACACATCATTAGGGCATTGCTCTTTCTCAAACAGTGAGATGGAGCTGCACTCAGGGCAGGCAGGTCCAGTTCCTGATGGAGCATCTAGAGAAGGCTCTGGGATGCCAGGCCAATAATCAGAAAGAAGCACACAGTCGGGATGCTTTCTGCACCCAGCAATGGGGGTTCCAGGAGCAGCCTCTGTGTATGGCCATAAGTCATTAGGATTCAGGGTAGAGGTTTGTGGACATGTCCTGCCTGGCTCCTCCCAGTTTTCACCACTGAGGCAGCTACTGTCATGGATACCAGAAGATGACACTGGTTGGCCCCACATGGACCTCACTGTTTATTTTTCTCCTTGGGCCTATACATAAAGGACGCTGAACTAATACTGGAATGAGCCACAAGTTCATAAAGACCCCTTTCTTCCCTTCTTCCCCCTGTCCTAGGGAAGATAAGACAATCTGTCTAGGCACCGATTAAGAGAGACAGCACATGTCTATAATTCCAGGATTTGAGAGCTAAGGCTACATGGGCTACAGTTCTGGCTAGCCTGGAAGATCTGGGGTAAAAACAGACAGAGACATGAACAAACAAACAAACAAATGAGCAAAAATAAAAGAGCAGAACAGCCTCAAAGAAAAAACAAAAGGAAGGGGCTGGGGAGAGGACTAGGTGGGGAAGAGTGCTTGCTGCGAAAGCATGGGGAGTTGAGTTCAAATCCCAGCACTCACTTGAAAAGCCAGGCCTGGCTATGTGCCCACCTAATTCCAGTGCTGTGACTGACACAGATATGGAGATTGCTAGAGCAGCTGGCTGCCAGTCTAGTTCTAGGTTCAGTGAGAAACCCTGTCTTAAACATAGAGAACGGTAGAGCAGGGCACTCTGGCCTGAGTACATGCCTTACACACACACACACACACAACATACCACATGTACTCATGCACACAAAAAGCATGCGAGAAAAGACTGACTGGTAGTTATGAGGTTTTTAACTTAGGTGCCTAGTTGATAAACAGTTTGTATACTCCCATGATTATTGATGTATGAAATATGAAAACAATGTTTGTGCAGTGTTATTAGGGGAGGAATAAAGGACAATGTGTGTATGAGGGAAATCTATTTTTGAGACAAGATAGAGTCCTTAATCTCACCCATATCCTACCATAAGTACATAGATACTCTTCCTTTTCCTGTCTGTGGAATGGAATACTTACTTCTATGACAAACAGGAGGTAGAATTCGTTTTCAGATGTGTACACATAAGTAGCTACAATCTCCTAGGATGGGACCTTCTCTAGTGACTAGAGAAGGCTGATGAAACTGTAAACCAAGGAAGAAACAGGTGTAACTAAATGTAACAAAATACTTTTAAAGTTCAACAAGCAAAGAGGAGGAGGTTCCAAGTGAGCTGGCTTAGTATAGCTAATAGGCAACAGCTGCTGCACCTGTCAGAGGTACCCGACCTTCTTGAATTCTTTATTATCTCCACTGTACAGCGTGGAGGACAGCAGCCAAGGATGTTCAGCTAATAAGAAGGTCAAATTTGAACTTAGAAGTAATATGCAGCATTAATCTCGGGGGCCAGCCACAACCAAATCATTTTAAGTTAAGTAATGCACAGCCTTGCCCATCTCACTGAACGTGAAAGTAGCATTGGAGGGTGACTTACTAGGGGAAGGCCTTTCAAATTATCCCAGCTCACAGACAAGCATGCCAGGCTGGCTCTTCAGCCCCCAGCCCCAGTAGGAGATCCAATAAAGTAGGAAGGCAAGTAATGTCCTCTTTTCAGCAGACTTCGTTCCTTGCATTCCTTTGCAGCGGGCGACTTTCCAAGGTAAGTTTGTGTGTGCAGCCTGAGCACAGAGGTTCTGAACACTTAACCCACAGGTCAGAAAGGGTCCCCAGGCTTCCCATCCCACCCACCTCTGGTCGTTCCCACCTTCAGGTAGGATGCAGAGTCAGGTACCTCCTTCCTTCCCCAAGGCCACTAGCTGGTGGCCAGATCCCAAGCCTGCGCCTGGCCGGCCACTTCTGCAGCCCCCACTCGAGCGTGGCCGCGGTGAGGAGCGAGCGCCCCTCGGCGCGAGCCACACACTCACGCACAGCCGCTTGTTGCTCCCCGCAGCCGCGACGAGGGGAAGTGAAAATGAAATTGACTTTTCCGAGAAATGATGAAAGCCGCGCTGCCCGCCAATGAACAGCGGTGGCGAACTTCCGCACCTCCCGGCTGGCGGCTGGAGCCCTCCCTCTGCCTCCACCTCCGGGTTGCACAAGCTTGAAACAAACACTGGGGAGGAAGGGCGGGGAGGGAGGAGGGCGGAGGGGGAGCGAGGGAGGGAGCGGGGCCGGGAGAGGGCGGGGGTGGGGGGATTTCCAGCCTCGGCTCCTCGCAGTTTCCTCTCCTTGTTTTGCTTTCGATCTGGACTGTTCTCAGGCAAGCCGGGGAGTAACTTTTAGTTTTGCTCCTGCGATTATTCAACTGACGGGCTTTCATTTCCATTTTACACACCCTAACAACACTTACACCTTGCGGGATTGTATTGGTAGCGTGAAAAAAAGCACACTGAGAGGTAACATTTTTTTTTTTTCAAATAATAGTTGTGACTGTGCGTGTGTTTTCTCTAGAGGGCATGTTGATGGGGACAGGAGGAGCTCTGTATGTATGTGCGTCCTGATGCTTTGACACGATGTTTTGCAGACGGAAAATGCCGGGGTTCATAAATATTAATACCGATTTTTGGAGGAAGAGTCGGCGCAGTTATGGATCATCTGATTTTAGGGGAAGCAGGGTCTGCTGCTGTTGTTGCTGGTACTGGGACTGCTGAGGCTGCAAGGAGGAGGAGGAGGAGGTAGAGAGGGAGGAGGAGGTTAGTGGAGGTTTAATTTCACTTTTGGATTTGCAGATGCGAAGAGGTGGCTCCATGGACACAGATCTGCTCTGTGTGATTCTGCGCCCCAGGTGTCGTGCGTTCTGGGTGCAGGTCCGCTGGAGTCGGGCCTCATTTAAAATTTGTGTGTGTGTGTGTGTGTGTGTGTGTGTGTGCGTGTGTGCGCCTGTGTGTGTTTACAGACATTGTCGCCACCAGGTCCGAAGAAGGGAACCGGTCCTTCTCGGTACCCGGTGGCCCTTCTCTCCTGGCAGTCTGCGGTGTAAATAGACTGGCACCCGCGGTCCCCAGATACCCATGCCGGGGCAATGGCCACTGTAAACTTGATGGGTGCTGAGAGGCGCTCCCTGGATGCGCTCGCCCACGGGGCTCGGGATCGGGTGACGGGTGCCAGCGGCTACTCGGGCCGGGCAGGCTCCGCGCGCGGCTGGGCGCGGGCCTGGCTGGCGCGCCCGGCTTCCCGGGGGCTGGGCCGCCGCCACTCGCCAGGGACGTCGCGTCCTCCTACCCGCCGGCCAGCGCCTGGCCTGGCCTCGGGGCTTTGTCACTGCACTTGTCTCAGCGCTCAAGGCACCCGAGAGGCGCGTCCCGGGAGGGCTCTGAGCGCAGGGGTCACACACCCCGGCGCGGCCTAGCTGCGAGCGCCTCCGGGTCCCCGCGGGCGCCCCCGGGCCGGCCTGGCGCGCTGGGCCAGACCCGCCTTGGCTACGGAATGGGCGAGGTGTGGGGGCGGGGAGCCTCCGGGGACCGAGCGGCGCCCCCGCGGGCAGGAGTGGGGGTCTGGCGAGCCCTTGGGGGTGTCCGGGACGCGGTGGAGATCCGAGTGCCCGCCCCGTGCCCTCCGACCCGCTCCGGGCGCCGGGTGGCATTCGCCCGCCGGCGGAACATGGTTGGTGCAGAGCGGCAGCCGCCACTTCCTCTCCGCCCCGGCCGGGCTCTCTGGGCGAGCGATGAGGGCCGCGGCCAATCGCGGTGCCCGGCCAGTCCCCGCCACACGGCCTTGGGGGCCGGCGCCCCTGAGCCGCCCGGGAAGCCTTAGTGAGAGCGCAGGGCCCGGACGCCACAGCCGGTGCCTCCGCTGGGCCCCGGGTCTCGGATCCTTGGCCACCCTCAGCGCCCTGTCCTTTAGGAGCCGGGAAAGGGAAGGAGGCCGGCAGCCTCAGCCCTGAGCCAGGACTGTGCTCGAGCACCAGGTGAGACACCCGGGTCAGCCGGTGGAGCCAAGACCCTTGGTGGTCGAACGTAAATAAGACCCTGGGGGCTGGCAGTAGAGGTTGTCACTCGTCTGCCAGCTCGTTTGCAGTCCTTCTTGATCTTCTGTGTTTGAAACTTGGGGACATGTTCCTCCTCCCCTCCTCTCTCCCCGTGTGGGTACTCCTTGTCCTTGGTTGTGTCTGTGCCCGGGAGGCAAAGTGGTGCTGGGGTTAGCTTTCTGCCACTGGCCTCCCGGTGGCTCGGGACTCTGGGCTGCTCTTGATGAATGGCTCCGGAGGGTGGAGGATAGTTATATTTCCTGTTGTGCATTTTCAGGAATTACCGAGGTTGTCGTCAAGCCTGAAGTCATTTATTAGCTCTTTCACAGGGACTGACTGCAAATAACATTTGAAGTTAGCAGTCTGGACTTCTGGTGCTTAAGGGCAGGTGCAGGGACGGGTCTGTTAGCCCACTGTTTACAGAAGGTGGATGACAGGATGGTAGGGTAGACAGATGTACACTGCCTGGTCAGGGCAGGGCCGCAGATGTCGCCCTGAGTTGGCATCTCTTCTAAGGGGTAACTTTGGAACATCTATTGATTGACGGGGCAAAGTCCGGAATTTCACTGTAATTGGTGAAAGGTTATAATTTGCACCCTCGTTTGTATATGAAGTTAGATTTTGGCCTGCGCTTAGACCCTAGAGATCTTGTATGTTATGATTTGTTACTGCTTCTTAAAATTAAACGTATTTCATTCTCAAGGAGTTGTCTTTTTTTCTGTTGACCAAAGTTAGGGTAAAGATATATATATATATATATATATATATATATATATATATATATATATATATGCTTGTAATCAAATTTGAAGCAACTTAAGGCTAAAGAGGAATTGCCATAAAGTCTTGAGAGCACTGTGAACTATGGCTGTACTTTTCTTCTACTCCACCTCCTGAAAAACTCCACTAACCAAATATTTAATATCCAGAGCTAGCGAGAGCTGTTTAAATCTAGGAGTGGAATACTTACAACTTTGGATATCCATCGATTTCCTCACATACCCAAGGGTGCTGCCCTTTTATTCTCAGCTTTATTTAGTAGAAGCTGTATTTTATTTCCAGCATTTTCACTTCATTTTTTTTTTAAATAGCAAACAGACTACTGAACTGTACTTGGGATATCCTATCACGGGTCCCTTATCTGCTTTCCACCAAACAGCCTTAAAGTAATCGACAGAGAACTTATTTACACATTTGACAAATATTTGTGGGACAAGAACTGACAGCTACAGTGATAGTTGTGTGGATTCAACTGGAAGCAAGGATAGCCTCCTCAGCTTCTACAAAGGTTGCCTTCTATCTATGAGCTGACAATAGACAAAAATAAATATAGTATTTACCTTTGGGGGTTAGTTTAAGAAAGGTAGCAATATATTATACTTACAGGGCTGCCTTTGGGAACAATTGTGATGCTGAGTATGAAAGAACACTGAGTAAATTTTAGCAATCCACAAACATGTCACACATTAGCTTTCTAAGTTCCATTGGATTATTGTTAAGGAGATATATGTATGCATATATATATGTGTGTGCGTGTGCGTGTGTGTGTGTGTGTGTGTGTGTGTATGAATGTACTGGCACTACCTCTAGTTCCAGCATTAGGGAGGCAGAGGCAGGAGGATTGTGACTTCAAGTTCCGATACAGACCGAGACCCTGTCTTTAAAATAAAAGTGGGGAATCACAATTAGGACGATGCTTTGGAGGACACATAAAATAATGTCAAAATATTAAATATTGGACAACTATTATATGTAAAGTATCAAGAAAATATTTTGTGAATGAAATTTTTGTATGTGTGTGTGTGCCAGGAGAACTGTTATCCATGGAGACCAAATGATGTGGGAACAACTGATTTAGATGAGTGTTTTCTCTATGTATTTATACTTTAATCAAATCACTTTATTGTAATGAACTCACACATATACATACAACTAGACTAAGGTAGCCACTCAAACAGATACTTGCCCTGTCCCAAACTCTATGCATCTCTGTGAACTTCTATCCAATTAGAATGGGCTTTCTGAAGTCATAGAGCCTCACTTGGGGGTTTGTACTTACCTACAACTAAAATGAAAACCTGTTACAGGGTTGGAACTAGAAAAACATTAGCTTTATATCCTTTTCTATGACACATGGGTCCCTTTGCTTACATTCTTTCCTTCCCCATCATCCAATAGTACCCTCTCTTGATCTCTTTTCTAAATAGCATAGGATACTCACAGTTACAGCTGGGCACATAGGCATTATACATTAGGATCTGAATATGAGAAGACATTTTCCCTTTTTATAATAGATACAATACACAGGTTGCGCTGTGCTTTGGTTTGAATGGTCTTCATTACAGTTTCAGACTTGTCAAGTCATTGCTACTACAGCTATGGCTTAACTCTAGGTTATATTTTCTTGCTTTTTGTTTGTTTGTTTTGTTTTTTGAGACAAGGGTTCTCTGTGTAACAATCCTGGCTGTCCTGTTACTTGCTTTGTAGACCAGGCTGGCCTCGAACTCACTGAGATCTGCCTGCTTCTGCCTCTCAAGTGCCGGGATTAAAGGCGTGCACCACTGATGCCCAGTTTGTTGCATTGTCTTAAAAGTGTCTTGATTGACTCTCATTTACAGTATGCTGTAGTGCTTAACACTACATGTGTAAAAACAATACAACATGGCAGGTGAAAGTAAGCATCAATAGTATATGTTTATAATACATATAAAATACATAATCGTATACACAGATACATTTCTATGAAATAACAGATATTAATAATAAAGCCAGTTCTTTTCATCTGTATGGCACCCTTCCTGAATAGGGGGAGGAGATGAGCGGGACTTTCTACCTCTGCTTGCCCTATTCATGCCCTGCTCTTTGGCTTGCATGGATTAATATTTAGTGAAGAATATTAGCTTAATGTATAACTGGCTGGCTTGAGGGGGTGTGCGAACTGATAGAGATTGTAGCTAAAGAGGTTTGACCAAGCTTTGATTTAGCTTCTTCCCCATCCTGTAACAAATTCTGTATAGATATAAGATGTAAACCTGGAGCCCTTATTTGATAATAAAATACTGAAGAAAATACAACCCAGAAAAATGTATGCCACAGACAGCTGACACCTAACTGTGGCCATGTCATGAAGACTCTCTGGGCTTTCTCTGAATTACGAGAAAGCAGTAGCCCTGTGATTCCCAGCCTTTGACTGTCAGGGAGCCCTTTAAATTGATTTCACCCCTTACACGATTCATCTTAAGATAGATTCTCTGAAACAAATTGTGTTCATTTAGGAAGACTTCATGTCACTTCTTTTCACCTACGTAGATACCTGTGACTTCCAGTCAGAATTCCTGGTCGACTTGAAAAAGCTATTTTCATCTAATCTGGTAAATGACATTCTATCCAAACACAGGGAAAGCCAATGTGTTGGCACTCTAACAGGTCTGTGTTAGAGTGAGAGCCAAGAGGTACTGGAACCAGCTGACGGCTTCCCTCAGAACTTTGAGTTCTCCTGGGGATCCAGGAAACCTCATATCATTATTTTAAGCAAATAGTTAGTTAAATGTAGTAACACACAAACTTATTCACTTTTCAAACATTTGTGGACAACTGGCCATGTACAAGATTTTGTGCAGAGGAAGATGAATGGGCTGGGAAGCCTAGAATTCATCCCCCCACACACACACGTAGAATTTATATACATACAAATATGTAGTACATGTATATAGATTACTTAATTTC